GACAGGAGTTTTACAGCCTATAGAGACATTGAGTGATTATTATTTCTCCTTGTGTTAATGATGTCATATTTCAGTGTTAAAATAATAGACTTTAACAGTCTTCCATGAGAAAAAGAGAAATCCAGATAAGAAACTAAGCAGCTACCAAAACAATATTGGATAAAGGGTAATTTTATATGCCAACTGTCATAAAATTCCCCTGGGACCAAATGTGTAAGCTCTGCACTGTGCATGTTGCTTTATTTTATAAACACATGAATCTGAGCCAAGGAAGGTGCCAAACTATTACCAAACAATTTACAAACTTGTAAGTTCAGGACAGATGCACCCCAGTTTGTTTATTTTGCCATTAGTCAACTGTAACACTGTAACAGAATGAACACCACCTGGACTGTGATGTAGGTCCAGCTGAAATGTTGGTCTAACGTGATGAAGACCATCATGCCCTCCCTTTCAGCCTAAAAGCACACAAAATTCCAAATTTAAACCATTAGGAAAGCACCTCCAATGGATATTATGAATGTCCATGTGATTTCAATACCATATTCACCAAGTAAACCTAAAAATCTTCCTAACATGCTCATATAACAAAGATAAAACAAATACTAAAATTAAGTCTGGGTTCTTTTCTTTTTTAAAAACACCTAATTGAACTAATCTGAATTTGCTCTGCAGTGTAATATTAATGTTCCAAACAACATACAAAAAGAAAATTAAATTAATCACACAGACAGAGAAAAGCAGTGTTAAAGCTCACATTCTAAGGCCACGCATTAGCAATTCAGTTGGGAGAGGTGGAACAGTGTATTGGAACAACAGTATAAAACACTTCACACTCCTAAGCAACTCTGTTCCTGAAAAACAAGCACACAGCACGCTAAAATTTGTCTACAGAAATATTTGACACTAACATCACTAAACCCTCTACCCTTTCCTTATCAGTTAGCCAGACATTTTCAAAGACATCACAGTTATACCACAAGTAGATTAATAAGTAAAAAACACTATGAAAATCTTTAGCATGTCAAGCTCTTTAGCAAGGTAACACTGCAAAAACGTTCAGAATAAAGACTTATGACAAAAACGTGCTGAGTGAATTTGAGTCAGCAGAATACGCTCATCAGAATCAAATGAAGAGGAATTCTGGGAGAAAGAAACAGAAAAAGCACCTATTTGAATGTTTTCGCTCCTGTCTGCAAAGGTTTAATGGGACTTTTTTTCTGCTTGCACACAAAAAACATTTGCAGTAAATTTAGTGGTGATGAAAGATGCCAGATTGATAGCCCTAGGGACTGAATTTCTCTGTATACACAGAACAGATAAAGCACAGAGTGAGAAAGTTTGTACCCCTGCCAAAATGCCTTACAATACACAGCTTATGCAACCATCTTCACACTACAGAACCCTTTGCCTCTCTGCTGAAAATGTCAAAAATATTGCTGCTTAGTGTTCATTATAAGGGGAATAAAACATGGACAGTGTTTTTAGCATTGGTAGGGACAGAAATCAAGGCATCTGCTCATTTAAAAATGTTTATTTTTGTGCTGAATGGCTCTTTTGTCAGCTCTGAACTTTGCTGCAGTGTTTGTAAGGCTGCAAAGTCAATCTCCACCTGGTATGAAAATGCTTTCCTACTAAACAGCATGTTATTACATGCGAAAAATAGCAAAGGAGGAGTGGTTTAACTTTTTTTTCAAATAACCTTACATTAACATACATGACCATACACCTAGCGCTCAGAAATTATCTCAAAGGAGAACTAACTTGATTGTTTCACTTAATTTGCACCTAGGCCCTCACTCTCCAGTGATCTGCACAATTGATCTAACTGACTTGTAATGGACAGTAACTCCCTATTAATCAGGTTTTCAGCGTTAGGCTGGAAGCTACACTGTCACATGGAGCAGGCAGGCTTCCAAGGAACCTTGGATTCTTATTTCCCTTACTACTAATAGCTTGGCCAAACAGCAAAAAGCCTCCCCCTACTCCCTGGCCCCTGTCCCCATCCAAGCGTCAAGCCATTTTTTGTTGTCAACAGATGACATGTAGGAAAGCAATAAGTTAAGGGTTATAGTTCATAATGGCTCTAAATACAAAATTGTTGACCTCATTATAAAGACTGACTTTCATGTCAAAGGAAGATGTCCAATATAACCCACAGGTTGCAAATTCACTAGATCTCAAACCAGGTGTGGGATTGAGGCGTAGGATTAAATGCTACTTCAGTTCTTGGGAGACTTCCTTTGTGTATGTATGGGTTTGGAGTGGGGGACAGTGATGACAAGAAAATATGGCAAAAAAGTGAATATACTCTCTGATTGATTTTAAAAAAATAATTATTTATAGAGACTATTTTCCTGAGTGTGCAGCGTTTACAGCACTTTTGAAGAAATCTCCTACCACTCCTTTTACTATTTGTAAATATTTGCTATGGCTAAGTGGTTAATACATAGCAAAATAATACTAAAAGACTAGTGCTTTAATATTAACTTGAAAACTAAGCTTTAAATTGAGCCAAATAAAGGTAAATCCACAAAGTATTTAGAACCACTGAAAAGAAAAATATCTCCTTACTATCTTTTTGACCCATACAACTAAGGAGCTCTTTTGGTGCAAGCATAGACTGGAATCCAAACGAACAGGTAGCTCTTTTGATTACCTCTGATTTATTTCAGAAAACAATAATTAGGAGGAAACAATAATTTCAGCACACCCAACAATGAATGTAAATTATAAAGACATAAGGCTCTATGAGGTAAGACTGTAAATTCAGATATTTTCATGTGCAGATAGCTGGATTAAACTAGAAAATATATGGCACGATCAGCCATTCACATAAAAATAACTGTTCAAATGTCCTTGTGATACACTTTAACATATTCAACAACTTTCTGCATTGTATTTTCTAAACAAAAAATGTACATAACTTACCATTTTCCTAGGGTTTCAATAGTTTTTCAAAGATAATGACCAGGTCATAAAGAGGTAGTCCTTTACGCATGCAAGATTCAGTATATATCTGGCAGTTCTAGTAGGCAGAAAAAAATCCAAAACATAAGTTTAGCCTATAGAGATCTGTGGTTCAATCCAGGCAATTGCTAAGCTAAAGTAAATAAAAATATGAGGAAAAGTGTGTCATTTCTAGTGTATGAAGAATTGTCAGGGCATTTTGCCTTTGATTCCTCCAAAACACTCCTCTGAATAATCTCAATTAGTCTGAATACTCCATTCAAAGCACTCCTGAGTGTTCCGACTGGCAACAAAAAAATTCCAAAATTAATTAATTAAGCTTAAAACTATACCTAATTTTTTTGTGGCCATAGCTGTCATAAACTCTGATAAGGAATGCTGAATTAGGACATGACTAAACACTTACTCTAAGAAAATCAAATTATGCTTGATGTTCTGGAAGTCCTACAGATTACTGAATTATCAGACTAATTAGTAAGAGAGGGAAAAAGCTATTAAAAACATAAAGTCCAGTTTAAAAATGGATTGAGGTCTATCCCATCATCCAGCTGGACAGTCTGTCCATTTCCCTTAAGGCACAGGGAAAACTATTACAGCACTCAAGGTAAAAAAGCAGAGGATATAAATTTCAGTTATGAAGAACTCGTGCATTTGACAAGGGATTTACATTCTTTTCTAAATTCAGTCCAACCCCTCTTCACGCCACATGCAGATCTGCCAAAAAGAGAAAAACAAAGCCACAATTTTCTGTCCCAGTTTCTGTTTAAGAGAGATATGTCAAACAAAATGACTTTGTTTGGTAAGTAAGCACGTGTTAATCTCTCACTTCACAACCAGAGAAATGAGATATAAGAAATAAGGCAATTTTCAGAAATTCAAACATAAAGTCTACTTTTGAACCATTAATTTGAAGACCAGTATACAGTGTGATTGCTAGATCTCTCTTGCCTTCTCCACAAATTAGACAGGGAGTAGGAAAACACGTTTGGGAGCATTCTCTCTCACCATCGCACTGTGGCCACTCACCTGCCACTGACAGGTTTTAGCACAGGTACCCCTGAAGAACGAACTCCAGTTTTGCAGAACTTGATAACGTTTTGAAGATGTTCTTAAAAGTTATTTCTCGTTAGGGCATTAGAGACATTGCTGAAAGGACAACGTCCCTGCTACTGAATTACTGGTTTGACCTAAAGCGCGATTGCAACAAGGTATCGAGCAGAAACGAACCAACAGAGACTGATACCGGAGCTCCGCCGGAGCTGGATCCTGCACCTGCTGAGGGCGGCAGGGCGATACAAACACCCGAGTCCCGAAGTGACTATTTAGCTGAAGACGCGGAGATCAAAGTCTCTCGTGAAACACCCTGGCAAACCTCAAACTAAATACGTAGCTCCTGGGACTTCACCCGCACACTGAGCGCACACATCGCTGCACGGGGCGACCGGCACAGCGTTTCTGGCCGGCACCAACCTCCCCCTCCCGAGCCACCGCCACCCGCCTCAGCCCTCCGCCTGCTCTGCTCCAGGGACACCGCGCCGGGGGAAGAAGCCGCAGCGCCGGCGCCCGCCCATGCCGGCTCGGGCGGGCAGGGCGCTCAGCCCCACCGGGACTGGCACCGGGACCGGCACCTTCCCGCCGCCCGCCCGGCGGCCCTGGCCCGACCCTGGAGCTCCCGGCGGCGCCGGGACGAGCAGGAGGCGGCGGCAGCGCGCGGCACCGGGGGAAGCATCTCCCCTTCCCCTCCTGCGGACGAGCCGCTGTCAGCTCACCTCAGCTCCGCGGCGGCTCGGGCGGCCGGGACCCGCCGCCCGGCATGGCGTGGAGGCGCGGGAGCTGGTGTCGCCGCGCTGCCGCAGGCTGGCGGCGGTGCGGGGCGGGCACCATAAACAGGGAGGGAGGGAAGGAGGGAGGAGAGCTCTCGCCGGCGGGGCGGAAGCGCGCTGGCGAGGCCGGGCAGCGGAGGAAGTGACGCTCCGGTTGCCGCGGCGATCGCGCACCCGGTGCTGGCGGCGCGGCGCGGGCTGCGGGCAATGCTGGCGGGACAGGCCCCGCCGGGCGCCGCGGGCTGCGGTCGCCTCCTGGCAGCGGCGCTGCGGCCGCTGCTGTGCGGGCTGTCGCCGTGCTGGGCGGCGGGGTGGCAGTGCCGGGGCCTGCGGGTGGCGGAGGCGGCGACGGAGGAGGCGCAGGTGGTGCAGCGGGAGAAGCGGGGCGGCGTGCCGGTGCGCCGCTACATCGCCTGCCCGCGGCTGGCGCGCACCGTGCAGCAATGCCTGCAGCGAGGGGCCGGCCCCCAGCCCCTCCTGCTCGAGTTCGCGCCCGGTGAGCTATTCCGGGGCTCCGGCCGTGCTCCCGGCGGGAGGGCTCCGCCGGGGCGCGGCGCTGCTCGGCGCCACGGTGACCTTGGGGGGTCAGGGCGGGCTGCCGCCCTCGCCACCGGCGGTACCAGCCCCCCGAAGGGATGGTGGTGCTCAGGGAAGGACACGGGGCCTGGCCTCTCCCGTGATTTCGGGCCGGGGTGGCGGCTTCCTTGCGTTAGGGCGCTGCCCGGGACAGGATCCGTGCAGGGGGTTGTCCCAGCCCGCCACCCTGGCGGGTCGCTGCTGTTCAAACTGTGCTATAGAGTAAGCAGAGATGTAAGTGTCTGTCACGTAATATTGTGGTTTTGTAAGTGGACTTTGTCAGTAAAAGCACACCCAAGACAGGTAGCCCTTTGCAGTTACTTAATGTCTGTGGTTGTGGTTTTTTTTTTTTTATTTCTGCAGAGTGTTATTTTGTCTCTAGAGATAATGTGGGTACGATTTCAAAGTATATTTCAGTTGGCAGAAGAAAAAGTAGAAGTATTTGAAACGTTATCTCCAGTGTTCCTAAGTATCTCATTGTAATGCCGTGCTTAGTGTAATTCAATGAGCAATCTCAGGCAGGCTGCCTGTAAATGATTTTTCTAACTCTTGTTTTGAAGTGTGTTTAAACAAATACAAGCTCTCATGCATTGAAGGCGAAATGTCCCAAGTGTCGTGTTGAGAAAATCACTAAAGGACATTACTTAAAAATAGAAATGCACTTTTAAAATTTTTTTTTTAATTTTTTTTTTTTTATTTTCCCACTTCAGGTCCTGGAATCTTGACTCAAACTCTGCTCAATGCAGGTATTAGAGTGGTAGCTCTGGAAAGTAACTTAGCTTATCTTCCAAACTTACAGGTACACTTTCGATTCAGCTGCATGTTTCTAAAACCTAATTAAAGGGAAAATAAGAAATTAACTTACAATTTGTAATAGCTGTTGGATCAAAAAGGAATTAGACAGTAATTGTTACTTGTAACATCTGACATAATGCCTAATAACAGTAAGTATTGTTTGGTATTATACATTGCATATGTAGAATATTTTTTAATTAGTTGATTTGACGTTTTGTGTATGCAGGAATTCAAGTTCATACATAGTCTTTCTATGAATAGTTTCATGGATAAATTTGAAAGTAATATTAATCAGAGTCATTGTATTTGTGTATGTTTAAATAAGAGGTCCATATGTAGCTTTAAGAAATCTGTAAAAATGCTCTTAGTTATTCTGCTTATCTTAATTGACACTTACATATTAAGACACATGTGTTGTCCTCTCCTGCTCACCTGGGCTTTTCATGGATTCTAGGGGGGTCAGACACTGAGCTGCAGAAGCTGTGCTAGAAGGATGGTGTTATAGTGCTGGTTTGGAACCAACAACTCACCCTCTGACTTAAAATGTGTATAAAAGGCATTCTCTCTGTGTATATGAAGAATTCTAGTTGTAAATCATTAAATGAAATGGTTTGTTTAGTTGAGTATAGTTTAGGATTTTTTTAAGGAAAAACATTGCAGAACATCGTAGTAATTTAAGAATTGTTTTAATGGCACTGAAGTTGCACAGCATAAAAAATGTCAAAATGCCCAGCACAATGAAAGAAGCAATTCTTTTTATCAGCTGTAAGAAGCAGCTCTGAGATTTGACTCTTGTTGACTGCTTGAACATATTTTTTGTTTGGGTGGGATGTTTTGTGAGACCAGTTACTATATCCAGATTTCTTCAACTGAAGCCGATTTTATTCAGTCCCTAGAGAATAGCCTGGATGGACAATTAAAGGTCATTTATGGTGACTTCTGCAGACTGGATCCTTTGGTGAGTGGAACACTGAAACCACCTGCCGTGTGCTCTGACAAGCTTTTTGAAACCATGGGTGTAGCAGCAGTTCCTTGGAGGGCAGGTATATGATCACATGTTACAAATACATTTGGAGGGTGCATAGGCAGTTTGGCAAAATCTTTGGGATTTGCTTGAGGTATATGTTCTGTTAAATATATGTGCTCAATTAATGGATACTATTTTCTACATTTCAACTTTTCTTAGACTCATGATAGCTTCAAAAAATACCCCATGTGGCAATATGGGATATCAAGTATTTTCTTGTCTGTTAAAGGTTTAGTCTAACACGAACTGGGCTTAACTTTGACTAAGGCTTGAATTGTATTCATTCTTGAACAACAAGAGCTCACAGACTTTCTTCTCTTAATTATTTCTAGTTTAGACATTAGAATTAATGAGATTGTCTAATATGTATTGCAAAATTTTAAAAATACCTTTACATGTTATTGAAACAGATGTACCTCTGAGAATTTTTGGAATCATGCCACACACATTGGAAAGAAACAGACTTTGGAGGCTTCTTTTTGGCCTATATGAATGCAATTCCATATACAAATACGGAAGAGTAGAACTCAACCTCTTCATAAGTGAAAAAGAATACATGGTATGTTCAAGGTATTTTACAGGTAATGAAGATGTAGTGCTTCACAGAACACAAACTCATTTATATTGTATGCTTAATGTTTTTGCTAGTGAATTTTTTTTCTACCAGAGTTTTTAAGTCTTGTCTGTTTCCCACTGGTTCTCTTTATGCAGTGACAGCACTGTCAAGAAACATTCTCTTGTCATATAACCACAAATCTTACAAATGTGAAGACCGGTCCTTGAGAAGAATATGCAGCAGCAGACTAGCTGCTTTCCATTGTAAATTGTGAGGTGCTTAAATTCTGTAACATGCTTTTGCAACAAAATTGTTTACTAGTTGCATGTAATAGTCAACGAAGACTGAATTCAAAATGCAAGTGAAAAGGATTCGGGTAGAGGATTCCAAGTTACTAAATACCATAATCAATGAGATGCACTTGTCCTGTTGAGTTGCTTTTGTATGCAGTACTGAAAAGAACTGAGCCAAAATGTAATGATTTACACACCTTTTTATTAATATTCTGTACACTAAGGCACAGAGCTGCTTTCTGGGTTTTCTGATGTTCCTAATTTACGCTGTCTGGAAGCTCTAGAACTGTACTTATACTTCAAGGATACCTTTTTTCCCGAGAAACTGGGAGGTTCATACAGAGCCAGAGCCATAAACCTTTAATTACTTGTAAGCCTTTGAGGTCTGCTTACACAATCTGTGCTGTGTCTAACACCTCACTGAAAAAAAATTAAAAGTCTTAAGTATCTTCTGTGAAATGACAAGTTGGACACCACTGAAATACCAACTTGCATGGCATGTTTTTAATGGCCAGATTTTTGAGTAAATACAGGGCAGCTCATTCTTTTTATGCAGTCGCTGTGTTGGGTTTTTTTTTTTAAATTAAGTTTTATGGCTTTATTGTGAACCCTGTTAAATGAGAGTTGTGTAGTAAAAGCTATTGGAACCTTCTTTTAGTGGGCATTGTTTGTTCCTTTTTGTTGGTTGTTTTGATTTGGTTTCTTATTATATGACAAGGCTGTGTAAATCTATTATGACAAGTTAAATCTCCCTGCTACAATCTACTTCTTTCCTGGCCCTGTTTGAGAATAATAACAAGCTTTTCTTTGTTTCTTGTCCTGAGAGTTGTTTGATCTGTAATATTGATCAGGATGATGACTGAGCAAGTTGCTTAATGTTCAGTGAGGTCACCTGATGTTTTACTTATTCTGCTTGCATGTCTTCTTGGGAATATTACTTTGCCAGTGCAAGCTGATAACTCTGACAAAGTTACGGTAATATGTAATATTACCGTAATATGTAATATGATCCCTGCTTCTCTTGTGTGTGAAAATTCTCTGCCTTAAAAGGGACCAGAAACTATGTGCTGGAGATTCATACACAGTTCAGTTATCCAAATAACTGCTGGGAAGAAATACTTAGCCTGTTATAACGTCTTCTAGTTGGGTCTTCTGACAAGATGTACTAAAATATCACAAAGTATGTATTCGAGGCTTAATGTAACTCTACTTTGGAATTTTAGACTTAACTGAATTTCTTTGACTTAACTGAATTTCTTACTACTTGTATTTATATGTATTTGAATGAGGATTTTGCTTAGATAAAGGAACAGTCTTAGTTTTTGCAACAAAAACCTCTTTCTCTGCCATTTTTTAGGTATTAAGAGCAAAGCCTGGGGAAGCATGGGCTTATCAAGCACTTACTGTACTTGCGCAAATAGGATGTGAAATTGAATTACTGCACAAGGTAAGTGTTTTGTACCAGCTGATGTGGCCTAATGCTATGGACGTGATTTTAGAAAAGAGTTTATAGTGGTTTACTATCCTAAACTAATTGGAAGCTAATTTAATGTTTAAATTAGTTGGAGAACTGTTGAAAACTTTTGTAGAAATTATTGATGTAAAAAGCTGAAACACTCATGTTTTGTGTAAAACTCTCATTAAGCAGCATCATGATTCACTATGATGTCAGTATTTTTATTGCAAGCCACTGTCCTCTGAATTTTTGCCATCCTATATGCTTTGGAATTCCTGAGCTGTATTCAGTAGAAATTTTTTTTGAGTCCTGTTGCTTTCATGCTTCAAGCATACCTGCTTCTTCTGCTAGTCAGTACTTATCTTACCTTGTCAAACATAATATGATATAGTTTTAAAAATTGTTTATGTTTTTCCCCCACCTCCACATGAACACATGGCCATCAACTTTCACTTAGTTTATGCTTTTCAGATTTACCTTTCTTTGTGCTCTGTTTTGCTAGGAACCTACCTTCATAGTTTTAAGTGTTTTTCTAATCTAAAATTAAGTTTCATTATCTATTGTCTTCCAAATACCTTATATCATGGGGTATGTATTAAGGAGTTGAAGAATGATACTCTTTGAAGATGGTCATCTGACTAACAGGGATGAAGAAAAAGTGGAGGCATTTAATGTGTTTTTTGCCTCAGTCTTTAGTAATACTGATACACCTTGGACTGCCTAGTCCCCTGAGCTGGAGGACCACAGGTGTGGGAACAGTGACTTTCCATTTGCAGACACTGAAATTGTAAGGGACCAGCTGTATCAGCTGAATGTTCACAAGTCCATGGGGCCTGATGGGATTCAATCCAGACTACTGAGGAGCAAGTGGAAACTATGGCAGGACCTCTCTCAGTTAGCTACCAAAGGTCTCGGGAGTCTAGGGAGGTTCCTACTGACTGGCAGCTGGCCGGTGTTATTCCAGTCTACAAAAAGGGTGTGAGGGAAGAGCCAGTGAACTACAGACTCGTCAATCTAACCTCAGTACCTGGAAAAATTGTGGAGAAGATTCTACTGGGTCCTGTTGATAGGCATTTGAAAAATAATGCAATCATCAGGCACAGTCAACATGGATTCACAAAGGAAGGTCCTGTTTAACTCACTTGACACCCTTCTGTGATAAGGTCACCTGCCCAGTGGATGAAGGGAAAGTGGTGGGTGTCCTTTTTCTGGATTTCAGTGAGGCTTTTGACACTGCCCCTCACAGCATCTTTCTGGAGAAGTTGTCCAGCTGTAGGATGAGAGTTCATGGTGTGCTGGATGATGAACTGGCTGAATGGCAGAGCTCAGAGGGATGCACTGAATGGGGCTACACCTGGCTGACCACTGGTTTAATTTGAGAGCCAATATATTGTTCAATATATTTGCCAACAATCTGGATGCAGGAGTTGAATGAACCATTAGCAGATTTCCTGAAGCATTGGGCAACGATTAACAGGATGAAATGAAACAAGTAAAAATGCTGGATTCTGCACCTAGCATAGAGTACCAGTAGTAATTGGGAGAGGAGTGGCTGGAGAGCAGCCCTGCAGAAAGGAACTTGGGGGTGCTGGTTGGCAGCAGTTCAGTACGAGTCATCAGTTTGTTCCCTGGCAGCCAGCAGGGCAAACTGCGTCCTGGGGTGCATCAAACATGGCATCATCTACTGGTCAGTGATTGTTCCACTGAATTTAGAGTTGGTGCAGCCTTACCTTGAATATTTGGGCAGTTCTAGGTCCCACAACTTAAGAAGGTTGTAAAGATCTCTGAATGCATCCAGAGGATGGCAACAAAGCCAGTGAAAGGGCTGGAAGGAGTGCTATATGAGGAGCAGCTGAGGCCTTGGCTTTTTTGGAGCAAAGGAAGCTGAGGAGGGGTGACCTCGTTACTCTCTACAATTTCCTCAGTAGAGGGAGGCTAAAGGGAGGTACTGAGCTCTTTTCCCTAGTAACCAGTGACAGGACACATTGGAATGGTTCAAAGCTGTGCCAGGGAAGGTTTAGATTGGACATTAGGAAGCATTTCTTTACCAAGAGGGTGGTCAAATACTGGAACAGGCTTCCTAGAGAGGTGGTTGATGCTCCAAGAGATATTTGGACATTGCCCTTAACAACATGCTTTAACTTCGTCAGCCCTGAATTGCTCAGGCAGTTGGACTAGATGATTGTTGTAGGTCCCTGCCAACTGAAATAGTCTATTCTATTATAACAAAATGCTTTAATTCTGTTATATATTTGCTTCCTCCCATAGGAACCTTGGTCATCATTTGCAACTGATTTGAAAAATGGGAGCCTGGCAATACCAAAATCTAAGGTAAGATTGTAGTGTACACTTTTCTTCTTTTAAAGATGTAGTTAAACCACTTTTTATTAAAGGTTAAAATAACTTTATAGCAACATTTATAAATGTATTTTTAAGAAGTGTTCTAATGAAAATTTACAAGCAGCATGTAGATTCATCAAAAAGTGAGTGAAGAATTGCTATGCACTTAGAAACTGAAATAAACTATTATCTTTAGTGTCTGTGATGGAAAAAATATGGTAAATAAATAGCATAAAGGAATGTTAAGAGGTATTTTTCAGAAAAAGTTACTGACAGGGAAACATCTACTTGCTTAAACAAAACAAATGTTACTACAGTTAATAACACAATCATTATCCTGCTGGTTTTGATTAAAATAGTAACTCATATCTCCATTATACATTTCATGTGATAGCTAATTGCTGAAAAGCATGAGTATCAAAGCTTAAATTTGAGAAGTGCAAAAATACCTTTTGTAAACTTCTTCACTTTTCTCTTTTAAAGAAGTAATGATGTTCCTTTGTGTAAAAGAAGCATATCCCTATTTAATTCTGATAATATAAAAGCATGTTTACTTAGTATTTGGTTTTACCCTCCCCAGAAAACTGCTATGGTTTGAGTGTTGTTTGCAATGTTTCTTTAAGATAAAAGTGAATGTAAGTGACTGGGTGTGCCTTACGTGCTTAGCTGTGTTGCTGAAAAACTGTGTAGAGAGGCATATCAGGTGGATTATGCAAGATGTATTGTGACAGCTTTAGGAGAAGTACAAATGTGAGACCTACTGGACAATATATCCATTGCTGCTAATACAGAAGTACATTTATTTCAGTTAAAGACTCCATCCCAATTTCATAAAATTGAGTTGCAATATTGTCTTAGCGTTACACTCAATTCCATCTTTATATACAGAAGGCAGGTAGTTGAAGTGATCTGATGCCTTGCATAGTATAGGAATACTATAATAGCTTGAAAGCTCACATCAAGCCTGTATTGTCTATTTCAACTAAGAAAGTTCAGTCTTAAAACTGAACTTGTATGTGATAGTATGTTTATTTTGTTTTCTATTTCCTTTCCTGTTTGGGGCACAGCAGAGGTAAAGCCTTATCTTCCAATGAAATCATCAAGTTAAGGCTTCTAATAAGAAATGTTAGTAGTGGTGAAAATGAAACTCTTAGCTAAAGACAGACACTGTCTATCATCTTTTCAGTGATTTATTTTGTTTTTCTTGCAGTGGCTGCCAAATGACCATTTATGTTTGGTACGACTGACTCCTCAGCAAAATCTATTTACAGGAGGCTTGAAGCCCACAAATGCAGCTACCTTTATTTTCATGGTGAAACAGTGTCTTGCTAAACCTACGTCTAGACTTAGTGATAGACTAAAGTAAGTAAGAAAGAATTACAGTTTTTATACTTTTTTCACAGAAACATAGGAAAATATTAACATATGTTCTCAAAGAGGTATTTATTTGCAGATGAAATACTGTGCTTTTTTAAAATTAATTATCTACATGTAGAATAGAAGATTTCATTTGTGCAGCCCACAATACAGTATTTTGGGGACTGTTCCTGGCCCGTATTTACAGATAATAAAAACTTGAGGTTTGACAGAAAGGTCGACAAGTATTTAGAATGTCATCATCATGGCTAGGCTTTGCAAAAGAAGATTTGGGATGTATATGTGCAGTAATTCTCTGTACCTCCAATGGGGGTGAGGTCATGTATCTGCAAGAAGTTTTCACTTACTTTACAGACATAATAATAAAGCCGCCAAGACTTTTGCAGGTATAGAAATTAAAAGCTGAAAAAGTTTCAGTTTGTAACAGACATCAAAGTCATGCTAATGAAAACAGCTGAAGGTTATTGAAGGTGGAATGAGGATGTCCTCAAATGGCTGTTATCTAATTAAAAAATTAGGCTTTAGACTTATTTACTAATTATGAAACTGTAATTTATTTTTTTTGGTATTACACTGGAGCTATTCATGTTTGGTTTATGATCAGTAGATTTCTGTTTCCCAAAAATGGAAGGTCTTTACAGTCTGGAAAGCATTGACTTCTACTTGCTGATGAAAATAATGAATATACTTCTCACTTGCTGATAATAGCTTATGAAAGTTAATTTCCAGAAAGAGGAAAGAAGAAAAAGCTACTAAATTCCAGTAACTCTCTTAGCAAAGAAAGTGCAAAGAGCCTTAATGGATTTCTCTCTTGAAGCTCACTGGTGTCCCTCATTTCAACTCAGTCCTTCAGCCAGGAAGTTGAAGGCTTCTAATTGAATCTTCTGTGTATTTATACACCCTTTTCCTGTCTGGGAAATAGTTTAATGTATGTGCACATTTATAAAGGTCTAGCTTTCATACATAGCAATGCTGTAGATGGAGAGAGAGTGGATACATCTGTTTATATATAGAAGAAAATACCTGGGAGGTGTAAGTCACTAAGTCATGCTATACTGAGTCATCTTCTTGAGGATTGCCTTGGCTTTAATTTCCCAGGCACTGAAGAATAACCCCTTTTTATGCTGTAATGCCTGTTACTGATTTACGCATTTCAGGTGGATGAGGGAGGGAGGGCAGGCGCCCATTCTGTAATGAAGAGGACACCCACCCTGTAATGAAGAGACTTATGTGGTTTGGTATTGGCTATGTCTGCTGGGGGCTTTATTTGGTATTTATGTGTCTTATTAGCAGATGTTTCTTCCTGTTTGCAGTATGAATTGAAAATAACTTATGTTGTAGGAAGAGGTTAACTTCTAGAAGTTGTGAAAGAGTGAAGTGAACCTTCAGATAATGTTTCTTGCTTTTTAATTTTTCACAGAAAGGAATGCTCATTAAGACTTTGTTTGTTTGTTTCAGTTCATGGAGCTTGGACAATGGTGGCAAATTACTGAAAGCGCTAGAAATTCCAGAAAATGCTGCAATGCGTGACTTGTATCCAGAAGACTACAGGCGTCTTTTTGAGGCTTTACAAAATTCTAGTATGTTTACTGAAACCTGGTTCTATGATGAAGTCTTGGAAAGTGTAAGGACCATAAACTTATAAAACTAAAGCTTTTGGAAGATCACCGTAGCTTCCGAAAGATTACTTTGATGAGAAACGGTTTAAATAAAATCACAGATACAATTAGCTAGATGATTTCCTGTCCAAACAGGAAAATAAATTCAGCAAGTAACAGGAGCCCTTCTGTACAGGATGAAAGTAATGGATTTGCAGTTATTTGAGCACAATCCTATCTGGAATGGACAAACTTTGCAACTTTTCTGGGAACTTACTAGTCACTTGCTGCTTTTGGATGTACAACTTAAATGGAACTTTTTGTTACACTGCTGTATATTTACAACATTTGAAAAGTTAACAGACCAAATAATGATTATTTGTCTGGTTTGTATTTTAGTTCTTAGTGATTTGAATGCCTTTTGGACAGATTACAAAAAAACATAGGTCTTTATAACCACTGAGTCTGCTATATTGTCTCGTTATCTAAAAACCTTGCAGTCTCAAGTCAACAAAATATTAATAAATAATTAGTGGTGTGTTACTATAGGACAAAGTAATGACTGCATGATAAAACAGTAACTGGGAGTTGCTTTAAGTAAAGATTGTAATATCTGTAGGGAAAAGTTGTAACAGTTCTTTCTTTTGAAAATAACACAGGACAATCTGTACTGGATTTCAATACACAAACAGCTATATGTGTATGGGGATTATTTTAGGTCTGAAGGTCACCAGAATATTCAGTGCTGTATAAACAATTTGGAAAAATGAAAATAAAATCATCTTATTTGAAACCGTTGCCCATGTTTTTGTTTAATGTGTAATACATGTACAAAAAATTTACTTCAAACCCACATGCTCTTAAAATTCTCTTTTTAGCCATACCCACATGCTCTTAAAATTCTCTTTTTAGCCATAGTACTCCATAACACAACCTGTTCCTAATTTCTCTTCCTATCTTACCGTGTAACTGTTCTGTTGTCCAATAAGGCTGAGAGGCTGTACTGGTTCTGTGCTCTATACTGTACTCTCTGGGAAGCACTGTGGCCAAAACTACGCCTCTTTAGCAAAGTACAAGTTAATAAAATGCCTTTGGTGAAGGCTGAGCTATTTTCAGACTTTGGAAAACAGCAGTGCCCAAAACACTGCAAACACAGAATTGTATTTCTTAAGCAGAGTGTGAAGTACAGATGTGACAAGCATTCATTGTGGTCTTCTGCAGATGGAAAACTGAGCAGCCTCAGTTGCCTCTGCTAGGTAGGCCACAGCTCTCTTGAAGCTGCTGGTAAGCTTTTGTAATGTTATGATGAAACTCCTGGAAAGGCTGAGGCTTAATTTGCAGACTGTCTCTGAGTGTTGCTGGTGTTACAGTGTAAGCCATGAAGATTTTAGGCTTGCTTTCTGTTCATGTCTCTGTTTCGGATAACTTGCATTGTAAATTGACTATGAATGGCAAACTTGCATTAACGGAAGCAATTCCACCTTTTTCAGTCTCATTAGATGGTAACTGTCTTACCTATTGTTCTGTGAGAATGCTTGTCTCCTAGGCTGATCACCCACACACACTTTGAATCAAAATATCTTGCCGTTGTTGCAGAAAGATGTCTTATACCAACATACTAGGAGAAGTATTCAATGCATAAAATGTAAGACCACCACTGTCTAAATAAACATCTTTAACTGTGTGCTAATAACATTTCAAACATGAACTGAAAAAAAATTGTTTTATTTTGATGCTGTTGGAAAGCAGCATTTACTGAGCCAATACAGAGACTCCTACTGTAAGAGCAGGAGTCTGTAAGTGGAAGGAATATTGCATAATTGTGGACTTAAAATGAGGAGATCTAATGGTCGCCAGAAATCTGCCATTAAGGCTAAGTGTAAGCAATGTTTAACCCTGAACACAAATGTGAAGTGGAGAAATGTCATTATAAAAATGGTTTTGGTATTCATGTAAGAGATGGAAAAAGTGAAAATTACTGTTGTACGTGAATAAATACATGGGTAGTGAAAATTAATTAGGTCTATGGATTTGATTAATTGATGCTATCCACTCGGTACTTTCTACTGTTGCAGGATTACAGCTTTTGTAGGATAATGTTGACTGTAAACTTTCACTTCACTTTCAAGTTTTAAATTGTATGTAAAGGTTTGTCATACATTCTTGTTATAATTTTTAACCAACCCTCTACTACTTGTATTCCTTTCCTTTGCGTAACTCTCTTTGCCATATTCCTCTGTATGTTTATGGAAAATTGAGGCAGCCACCTCTTCAGTTACTTCTGATTCACATAAATACAAGGGCAGAACTCGAAACTAGGAAAACAGTATATAAATTCAGGTTAACATGTACAGTTCAATAACCCTCAAAAATGCTTTTCAAAGAGAAAACTGCAATTTCACTTAAGATTTAACATGATAGACTTTCTCAGAAGAGATGATCTTCATGGTAAGGTTTACAGGAACCATTTTCTATCATGGTGGGAGAGCAAAGTTTCCCATTTCTGAAAGTGCACTAATTTGTGAGTTACTGTGCCAGATACAGTAAATCAGAAATAGTATTTTGAAATAGGCACCGACATTTGAAAATGTTGCACAATTCAGTTGTTCTGAGTATCTTAAATATATTTAAGATATGTTTAAGATATATCTATTTAAGATATAAAGTAATAGATTTTTTTTAATTACACTGATTAGCTGAAAACTTTGGTGCAAATTTATTTTTTCCTATGTTTTTCTGTCTTCAAATCTGTGATCTTGCATGAGATTGAGATTACAACATTCATATGCATACTTCAGAGAAGGTCCACAGTATATCTAGTCCTTTCAATTATTTCCAAACTGCAGGGTTGTGGTTGCTTTTTTTATTTTCTCTTTTCTCCCAAGACCAATGTAATACACAAACCTCTGAAACGTGAACCACACATGACACAGCTACTCGGTAAAACACTTTTTTTTTTAAGTGTTGCACCTGCTCTTCCAATACTGTTTCATAGAGGAGCTGCCAAAAAATGGCTTTTGGCATCCCATATTAAAGCACCTATATATCATAGTTTCTACGCTGATGATAACTTTAGAGATGCTAAGTCTTTTCCAATGGTGCTCATCATTTGTACCATCCATCTGCCTGTGGAAGAAAATTACATGACTGTGATGGCAATTGCCTAATTTTTTTATTATTAACTATATTCAAATCATAACAAACACAAATAGAAACAGAAGTAAACTTGGTCCTTATGGTACCCAGTTAATAAGAAATTTTGCCAATAAGAAATTTGGAATTAGAAGGTCAAGTTGAATTCTATAGTCAGTTCACTTCTGATCCAGAGGAAGGGTTTGTGACCTTGTAGTAATTAACGTAGTAGATGTGGTTGTAAGGGGTTGTTAAGGTGGAATGTGTATATACTGGCTACTAGACCTGTTCAGCACTGAGCATTTTAATAATTAGAGCTCAGCCTTGCAGGTAATAGTGATAATGTTGATAGAAATATCAACATAAAACTTGAGAAACAGATTGTGTGGTGTAGTTTAAGACATTCAAGTGCGACAGGAAGAACCTGAGGCTTCCTGAGAAACATGTTGAATTAATTGTTTTGTCAGGCTGAACGCAATCTGTGGGGCTGCATATTGAAAATTCCAACCTGAGCTTTGCAAGCCTTTAATTAGCAAACCTGTACCTTTCTTCTGTAAACATTGAGAAAATGGAAATAACAAGTAACTTTTCCAGAAAGAACAAGAAGTCAGTGGGAGATGTTTATTCACTCACATTGTATCCTTTCTCAACAGCTACTGCGTCTTTCCCTGTGTGGGCTGTTTTAACGTCACTGCTAAAATTAGGAACGCTGGCTGTCCCCAGCTGATAGAACGCAACATGCAGCAAACATATGAAGCCCAAGGGAAATTAGGAGTAGTTAAGAAACACCAAATGAAATAGTCAATTACTCATAATGTAAGCAAGTCTTCAACCCTTGATGTAGTTGATTCTATTCATAAGACCCCAAATAGGTGAAACAGCTAAGAGCTGTGTAAGCGTGCTTCTGTCGTTTGAAGGAAATTGAGGCAGGGAAGACACAAATAACAGTAGAATGGTTTTGTAAAGTTCCTAGTAAAAAAAAATTAACAGATAAAATCTGTTGCTGTGAGTGAAATTTATTATGACTTTGTGCTTAAAATACTTCTGCAGTGATTTTTAATTTTACATTCTAGAATCAATTTTTTATTAGCACACCAACATTGAAAGTGAAGAGACCTCTTCAAGAGACACATGTTCATAAAAGATTTCTCTGTGCTTACAAGATTTCAACTCATTATTTGATAGCTATTCTAAGTCACTTGATAGCTATTCTAGGCCATTAGTAACACAGATTTTGTACAATCCAAAATTTTGTGTTTTGAGCCATATTTTGCTCCCAGAAAAATTCCGATTCTGTGTTGTTTGGAATGGCTATTGCACATTTATGACTAAAGAGCAGAATGTGAATTATTTCATTATTGCAATTGTTTCTCTAAATTCATGTTGTAAAACATGCTGTCTTGAGATAGAAGAGCTAAACTTCCTCTACAGTGTTTCCTGGCTGCAAGGAAGTATGACTAATTCAGCAGCATCAGCCACAATTAAGTGGTATTTCCCACAAAAGTGCCCTCATTACATGCCTTGAGAGCTGCTTCTGTCCAGAATGTGTCATGCACTTCAAATAGCTGTTGAGAAGTCTGACTTGTTTAGGTCCAGTGTATGACTTGGTCATATAAAACCACCATACTGATAACAGGAAATAACTTCAACTACATATAGTCAGGGGCTAAATAACCACTTATTGGAATATATAGCCTGAGTATCATTATGCTTCTCAGAAAATTCTCATTGATATTTTCAAAAACATCCAAACTGGGCATTCCACTGATCACCATTGCTTAAAGACTGTGTTGAATGGCCCTCCTAGGCAGACCAGCCTATACCATGTAGATGTTGATATCCAGAATCAGCTCTTCGTACAGAAGTCAAAATATCCAACACTGCAATGAAAATGTTTATGATGTGTTAAAAGCTTACCCATACTAAAAAAACTCTATTACTACAATTACGCTTTTGCATCACTTGAAATGTGATGTCAGCTAAAAGCTGATCTTGGGCTTCTGTGGCTTATTTTACTTATGCCAAACTGATGGAAGTCCCTTCAGCTATTCATACTTTGGTTTTGCTAGAGTAGCTGGGCTCTTCAAGGTTGTGGTTTTAATTTTGTTTGTGTGTGAGAGAGACAGTAGACTGTCATTCCCTCAGATATGTTTCTGTACTTTGCGAGAACTTGTTGTGTTATGGGACATGTGAGTGAGAAAACCTGACATGGAAAACTGAGAAAATAATGAAAATTATTTCTGGTAATGTATATTCATATTAGCTCTTCCCTGAGTGCACCTTTTGCAGTTCACAGGTAGGACTTGAAGTTTATGCTTTTTGCATATTGTTTGACTATTCATTTCTTAAATTTATGCACTAATAGGTATAGATGTTACCTTCTGTTATTACTGGGTTTGTTTTTGTCACAGGTTTTGGGCAATGTCTGCTTAGAAACTCGATAAAACAGCATAGACAGGGAAATGCAGAAGATCACATAGGTGAAGGAGTAAAGCATACAAGCCAAATACAGAGCTAACCATCTAATATTTTAATAACTGTTAAGGATAATTCTTGAGAATCTCACACCACCACTGTAATTGAACACTTTTAAAAAATTTGCTAGGAGGGCTAAAGATAAACATAGTAATGTGTATAATAATTTCACTGACAGCCAGATTGCTGTC